GTTGGTGATGATCCTACTACTTTACCAAAGGGGCAGACCATCAATGTTGGCTCTAAGGATGATGTATCAGCGGTGAAGAAAGCTGGTTGCTGCTCGTCTTAGAGTAGGACGCGCTTTATGGTCTCAGGATATTTCTGCTGCTCCCAGAGTTATTACCCTATGTTCATCCGCCTTGTTGATGCACTTGCGGTAATAAGGGCAATATCTTAGGAAAATTGTCTCACAGATTTTACATGTGATGATGGCATGGAGAGAGGCTTAAATTGTTGTGTTGCTACAAGAACTCGGATTTGGATTTGTTGAAATATTGTTGTGGTGGAGAGTACTATTGTTTCTTCATTTATGTATTGAACTTTTCATACCGTAATCGAAAGTCATGCTCACTTTACCCTTGTCGAATGTTGCGCCTCTTGGATCTGTATTGTGCTGTTAAAAAAATTCATACTTTTGCGCTGGACTTTTACCGGTTCGTTTTTTCTTGCTTTTATGGGCATGACAGTTGTAATTGGTTTCTCGGCCGAATGTAGGCTGGCTGAGGAACATATGAAAGGAGATGAAAACAAATAGTAACACTGCGGGAAACTCTGTAGGTTCTCAAAGAGCCATGTCAAATGATAGTTTTGGCATGATATTACCCATTTCGCAACATACAAGGCTTTTATATATTTATATGGTTGATGTGGTGAGGGTGGGCAATTGTATTACTTATAAGAAGGCTTTTTTTTCTGCCATGTTCAGCCTTCACTTGATTTCACACGAGCCAAACATTGGGTTTGTAACTTTTGGAGCTGTTTGGTTCCGGTTTTTGGATGGGTAAAAAGGAGGAAAGCTGCCAAAAATGGCAGCTTTTTGGTAGCTTTCCCCCAATATCTCCTCTATATGGCAGCTTTTCCCTTTTTACCCATCCAAAAACCGGAACCAAACAGCCCCTTAGTTAGCAACATGTTTGTAAAGAGGGGGAGAAAAAGCATTTGTCTTGTTTGTAGGGGGAAAATAAGTTTCTTTTTCCATTTGAAATAAGAATTCTACGTTCTATTCATTTCTGTTTCGCCTTGGGTTAATGGTCCGTCGCCATTTAAATGAGGTCTGGAAGAGAAGCAGCAGGGTCAACAGCTCCGAGATCAGGAACTAAAAGAGGAACCAAAACCACTGAACTTCTTGGAAAGCTAAACAGAAATAAATAAGAATCAGTAGAGCGAAGAGCAAGAGTCCCATCGTAGGACTTAATAAATGACAGGCATATTCAAGAATATAAGCATTTTCTTTTTTTCAAATCGAATGAAGAAGAATTACGAAAGTTAGATTGAAAACCTATCAAATGGTCTTTATCTATAGTATTAATAATGTACCAAGAGAAGGAATATCATTGGACTAGCAGACTCCTTCCCAAGCCCCATGTATTGCACTAATACAGGGACAATTATTTTTTGATGCGCCATTAACACAACGTCTACGGAAATAACCACCGCAGACTTTGCTCATCATCAGATAATAAAAGTATATTGTCAATATAAGAAATGCTAAACCAACAACCAACGTTAAATCCCCAAGCGACAATGGCCTGCCTCTAATTTAGAGGCAAAGGCTTGCATATATTCGCTTCAAACACAAGAAATAAACACAACAGATCTATCAGAACTCTGCTGATTAAGTTACTAAGTAATAAATGACAACATCTACATGCTAGCTAAAATGTCTAACAAAATGAACAATTTTTTTTGCTTCTGTACAGTTATTAAGCTTGCCTTAACGTCTATGACCACTACTAAATGTATCTGGTGCAAGGACAGCATTTATCCACAGTTATTTACACCATATACGAGTTTAAACAAATAAATACACATACGGTCCCCTTATCCTTCACTATTATCCGCAGCCAACGCCGTCTTTTTGCAAATTGGGCACAAGTTCTTCACTAGCAACCATTGCTTTATGCAGTCCCCATGATAATTGTGGCCACAGTCCAGAGTGCCAATGATCTCATCCTCCTCATACTCCACCTGAAAAATTCAAAACCCTTGGTATAACCAATAGAAGAGGATGTCTACTTCTACCGACAATGAAGATTAAGCTTAAGAAATTGATCAGAAATGCTTAGAGTCAAGAAATGGCATAACGTACCTGGCATATGATGCAAGGATCAGTCTCTTCAGAAAATCTGCATAACTTGTCTGATGGCAGCAATGTTTGTGAATTATACACACTCGTCTTGAGATTCTTTATGATGGATTCTTCAGTCAGGCCAGTTTTGACATTTCCGATTTGTTCTTCCAAGGCTAAGAGCTCCTGTTGAGGCAATTTGAAAGTCGACATTACTGAAAAATGATATCTACTACTAGAGAGCAAACTAAATCCAGAACGTTCTTGATTGCCATGGTCACACTTCAGCTAAAAAGTTCCCCCCTATATCTCAAACTTCACATTTGAAAGCAGAATGTATCATGCAGATAAAGAAAATTGCTGCAAACAGGCAAGGGACTCAGGCGCACCCAACAAGGAGGCCCAATAAGCAAGCTCAAATCCATAAAGAATCTATTTATTTACCTCATAGGACATTTCATCTATGTCCAGTCGCATATCTTCGTGCTGGTCGATCATATTCCCTCCTCCAGAAAACCCTGAGATGTTATCCACAACCGCAGCATCCTACACGTGCCAAGAAAAATCAACAGTTGATGACCTTCAATTAAGAGTTAAAAAGGTAGAATCTAATTCTGGTATTTCAAATTTCTTACCTTGCAAGGCAGTCATTTTTTTTAAACAAGGGTATCCATACCTCTTAAGAGTAACTGCCTAATCCGTCAAACATGTGACATGTTTAAGTCCTATATTAACCGTTCAGCACAAAGATAGCACGTCTATTAGCTTGATAAACATGGCCCAACATTTCGGCCTTTTTGATACAATACATGGTTGTTACAGTAGTTATTTAATTTCGAGTAAAAGATTGCAATGTACAGGTTTGCAATAAGTACTAGCAGAGTCTATAGAAATCAAGGCAAACTGACTCAAACAAATTCAGTGCAGGAAAAAAAGAAGAAGAAATAGTTGAAAAATATGGATCAGTGACCATCACATATCTTTTGTGTTGCATGTTCAATGCTACTATTTGCAGCTTACCATTTAGTTCAGATCAAACAGCAAGACTAAAATTTGCTAATGATCAAAAGCTTGACTTGTTCCAATAAGAAACACTAGCCAGAAGTGTTGGATACATTTCATATTTATCCTTCATCTAGCAATCATGTCCTAATCTCCAGAATGCTAAGGTAATGCAATTTTCCTTTTAATGCCCCCACAACTCAAATTTGTAATCCATAAATGTACACAAAATAGTAGACTAGTATACCAGACGGGACTGCACTAGCACGCTAGTGGTCCCTTAACTCAATTTTGGCACCTCTAAGATTTCCCATCACTGGCATATTGTAGAAAGGCTTCAATTTCAATCAGTGATCAAACAGTTTGATGCATACATGCATATTCAAGAAACCATTAGAGCAGGAAAAAACTTCGAATAAAGAGTCAGAATGATAAAATTTACCTCTGAGGATAAAATCCTCACACCTCCATAACTAAAATCTGGAGTTGCATGGTGTAGATGGCGAGGCCTGAAAATCTGTTCAGCACCGGATGGAAAGTATGGAAATCTGGAACCTGAATTTGGACCATGACTAGTAGGATTTACATAGACAGGATGCAAGGGATTGAATGGATGTTGATAAGAAGGTGCTTGCATTTGAACTTGGCCATAGCTTGGGTGTTGCATGGTTTGTACAGGTGCTAGATGTTGAAAACCAGGCTGCGGTGTATGACTGAAAATGACTCCAGCATTTGCAGTGGATGAGGTATCAGGGAATGCCTGAACGCCCATATTTGTCAAACCAAAAGCATTTGAATGAAGGCATCTTCCTGAGAAAATAATGAAACCTATTATGTTTCTCCAATGTCAAAACTATTCAAACTCCAATCTAGACTAGAAAGAAAAACCATTATGTATTATAGATGCAATTCCTTTATATTTTATAAATGGTTGAGTGCACTTCTCGAACCACCAAAACCAACATTTATTGCTCATATTAACATCATTATCCACGTTTTATAAATGGTAATATCCAGGATAAACACAAGTGCTTACCATGTAGATGAGACGTCGGATGGTTGTAAATCCAATTAGAAGATGCCCTGTCATCAGCATTATTCTCAGTGCCAAATTGTGACATCCACACGTTGCTCGCAGGATGCAAGGCATGACCCATATGAGTCGCTTGAAGCACATAATTAGGATGAAAATATGCAGGTTCTGGTTGAAGACTGATGGCACTAGATCTACTACTCATTCTATGAGATCCCTCTGCTGTTTGGATATTTCCTACCTCTTGGTACCCAGGATGCTCAATATTTGTAGAATCAGCCTGATTCACCCCTGGTTCATATGACTGCTCCCACTGTGGCAATCCACAGTTTAAGGAAAGAAAAGGCAATGCCTGACTAGAGCTTGCAGGTCCATCAACACTGTGCTGGTTTCCTGGAGGTATATCCACATTCTTCCTTTTGCCAACTCCTATGGTACTATCAGCGAATTCATTATGCATACCAAACTTGTCTATAAGTGGGAAGTGGTCGAAGGAACCATTATTCTCAGCAGGGAAGTTTCTGCTAGATGACGGTAACATGGAAGGTATACAGAAATTGGGTGGAGTAACAGCTCCTAGTCCAAGATCTCCAACTGACTGGAACCGCTGGAAACCATTATACTGGCTTCCATAGAAAGCAGTCCTGTCGTTGTAGTCCCTAAACAAGAGACCCTGTTCCATAGTACTTCCAGAAGTTGACATCGAAGAACGAACACTCTGATTGGTGTAGTCAGCAACTTGTCCTGTGCGAATGCAGCGATCAGGATAGATGTGACTGACATCTTGTCCCGACTGCATTTCAAGCAGTTGCTGAGTGCATAGTGTAGTTCTCTGACCCATGCCGGTGGCTGAAGCTTTTATTCCTTCAGAGGACACTATATAGTTGTGCTTGGTGATATCTTAGTCTCAAATCATGAACCAGTTCTTGCTGTTGAAAATTGTACATAAAAATTGGCATTAGGAAAATGAAAACACTTAGTAAAACGAAAAGTTAATAAATCAAGACAAACATCTACAAAAATAGGTGTAGACGATGGTAGGGAACGTTTAACAAACTTTCATAATATACAGGGAACGTGACATATTTTCTTACAGTTTAATATACTGCAAGAAAATGCGTTGCTAAGAATAAACTGTCATATAGACGCTTCATCCAAAAGCTGAATGTGATAAAAAAATGGGCCAATAAAGTATATAAAAAAAACTCCTCAAGCGGGCTCCACGTAGGAATACCAATAATGGAAACATGACTTTCTCAGGAAAACATAATAAATATGGGGCCCAATAAGATTAATTTTAACTGCCTGCAATGAGGGATGAATACAAGCCTCGTGAAACCCAGCGAAACTCTTCGATTGAAGTACTTAAGCAGATGGGGTCATGGAACAACAATGTATATCACACTATCTCAAAACAAACTAATAGCATCTTAATGAATTTCTTACTCTTGTTCCATAGCTAAAGCAGGCTAAAAAACATAGAATCACTAGATGACATTAATTGATTTACTTTTCTTCTATTCATGTTCATCAGATACAAATAGGGAAGGGAAAAAAAGAGTAACACAAAGTCATAGGAATAATGCGGAAAATTTATCATGTTTTCTGCTATCCTGCAAAACAATTTCCTCCTATCTCTGTAGCACACAGTTGAGGTGAGGCCAAAGATGGCAACACATTCACCAGTAGCTAGCCTAACATGGTTACCATAATAGATCCAGAATATGAAGGAAAAACAAGACCGTATAGAGAGAACAACAGAAAGGAAATTGCTTCGAGCACTAAAAGTCACATTATAGGTTCATCCAAATTGCACAGATGAGGGTTTTGTTAATAGGAAGGAAAAGGCAACACAGATAGAATTGGAATAAAAAGCTAGGTGAAAGCTAACGAGTGGAAGCAATAATTGATGAACAACTACGGTGATTACATGATCACGAGCAATGAACACGAAAGAACACCAAAGCAGAGATTCTTAACGGTGTGCAAAGTCCTAAGCAAGAAGATACCCTAGATGACATATACCATAATACAAATTCCTTAAAAGAAACTATAATAACGATAAGATGCTTGCTCAAAATGTCTGGAGAATAATTTCGTGCCATAAATGGATTAAAGAGGACCTTCGATGCAAATCTCAGATATTGTGGAAGGTTTGTAAGAATGCTTAAAGATCTTAATGACAAATGTAAGCAGGAAAAAATTTATATATTCAAGTCATTCTCACAAGTTCCTATCGGTTGCCTTATTCAATATGCCAACTAAAGTTTACTCACACCAAAATCCTTAGACAATCCTTTTTAAGTATCTCTTCCTTGTCCCTACTCCTGTTCAGATAACATTTATCTTTTATCATCTTTCCACTTCGACCGAGCTGGATAAATATTAGAGTATGAGATTTGGTCCTCTAACATTCTTGAAAGAAAGAAATTAACCTGTCATTTGCACTAAGGGGGAAAAAAGGAGAAGAACAGTAGGCCAGCCTTCACTTGCCTCCCTCCCGCTCCCCATTCCTATATCTAAGATAGTATTTTGCAGTTCATTATCAGCCAAGCTAGTTTTTTTAATTACTATTTATGCAAATTGTCCACTTGCAAACACCACAACTCTTGAAACAAAGCAACAATATGAAAAGAATGTGATTTGAGGTTTAGGTTCAAAAAAAGAATGTGATTTGAGGTTCTGATAAACTCTTATCAATATATACTGATGATACTTGGTAAAATATATAATTCCTAGTCATATATAAATTACATGCTGACTCAGACTCTTGCACATGGTAATCATCAAACTCAAACACCAAGAACACCGAAGTATGGGTGCATAAATTTGCACTCGCGCTATCTGCATGCAATTGTATAGTAAATACTTATATCGTTCACCTTTCTTCCGCACATACCCAAGCTAATATATTGAATGCACCAATTAACATGCCACAGATATTGTTAAAACAAGGCATAAAACTCCTCAGTTATGCATATCAATAAGTAGAAAGGCAGGCATATTTGGAAGTAATCTAAACAAGTTAGATGCATATGTTGCGAAAATGATCTATAATCTAAACAAGTTAGATGCATATGTTGCGAAAATGATCTATGTCTCTTGGCAAGATTGCACAATGACAACCACAGATATATCACATCCATTGTCTGTTAAAAATTCAGTCATTTATGGCCAAAATGTGCAGGAACATACTAGAAGTTCAATTTCATTGAAGCCTGACTGCTGTGAAAATTAGTATATATTTATGGCTCAAGTACACATGTACAGTAACACTGTAGTAGCAATTGTTTGGTAATACAGGATGCTGATCATGAAAGGCTTCTCTTCGTTATGAAAACTTATTTGGGCATGCTTAGCATGAAGTGCTGTGGTGCATGTTTGGCAACGATAACATTTAACGAAGACTAAAGAAGGATATTTTTCCTTAAAATTTTAAAAAAGTAAAAATCAAAATAAAAAAATCAAAAAAATCGAAAGATGGAGAGAAGTTCAGAATCTCAAGAATGCGAAATTAGCATAATTAAAATGGAATATATGGCATGTAATTTAGCAGATCCTATAAAATGAGCATATAGTTAAGATTGATGGCCAAGAAAAACTTGATAACAATTTTCGTTAGTCAGAAATAAATTGATCAACCTTATGGTGATCGACAAGGACGTGGTTCATAGGATCACAGCAGGGACGGTTAAATTAAAGTTCTGGAAAACAATGTGCTCATAAAGTACCCATTATATTAAAGTGAAATTCTATAATCTCAAATTCTGGCAGTCAGAAAACACATGAACATAGCAGATATAATGATATTGAGATGCACAAATGGCAATACTCCAAGGATCTGCTTGACAATTGGAATCGAAGGAGAAACAAAGAAAATGGGGATACATGAGACATTTTTTTAATGTTCGCCAATCTGGCAAGAGGTGGAAGTGCACCGACACCTTCCGCTTCAATATAACTACAATGTATTTCCATATTCAATTTATGAATTTTAAAACCGAAAGCCACATAGGAAGCGAGAAAGCTTCTCTTTTTTAATTGTTATGTTAATCAATAATGATTTACCTTATCTAACATTTGTAATGTTTGGTATGCAGTTCACTAAAAACTTTACGACTTCTATTGCGACAAACCAATAGGTTTAACAAAAAGAAATGGTGTTCTCACTCACACACGCTTGCTTACTCTCCTACCTTCCTATTTTCGATTTTGTCCAATTTCCAACAGGGGCTGAGAGACAGCGCAACGATTATGGCATCTATAGGTTGACGGACAAGGTGGTTGTGAACCTGAGAGCAGAAATGGTAAATTACAAAGCTGAATAAAGGAGAAAAAAGGATTCATGTCCATGAGACTTTGGGATACACTTTGGGGTACAGGATTAATTTGTATTGTTGCTGTTCCTACACCTATAATCTGCAGACCCGTGTGGCCAATAACTGATATCGAAAGCTCCTCCTGTTACGAATCAAGTGGACCCAAGATATAGATAATTGATAGATATTTAACATGAAGATTTATACTTTGGCTCCAATGTCCGAACGTAGATCATATTTAATATAGTGGATCCACTATTCAAATCGGTAATTAGTTTGTCCGACATACGCTTTCCATTTCTGAAAGAAAGAAGTTTTGTAACTTATTAGCAGTTATCTGCTTCAAGATGTTTTCCCAAGGACCTATTAGCCTATAAATTTCCCAAGGACCTATTTGCCTATAAATTTCCCAAACTACAACCGAGTCTAGACAGAAAGGTAGGAAGTTACGTCTTGAGTATGTTGATAGCTTGTTGGACACCAAATAATCCAAATGATAAACTGGAGTCACCTTCCAATCACAATGATTGTAACTTGTAAGGTGTTAAAGAAATTCACATATTGGAAAAATGTCAAAGAAAAGAGTTGTGTGGTCATGATACTTGTCAATTTCTTACGATATGTGACACATCTTTTACAATTTGATACAATATGCAAAAAAATAATAATGCAGATATTATTATGAACCTATTTGGTCAATGTATCTTAAGATACAGTTGGTGCATCCTATGATTTGATTCATGTTCTAGTGATATGTTATAAAAGTTTGACTTGACTATAAACAAGTTTCAATTTGTCTATGCTTTTAACAAAAGAAAACTTCCATTAAGCACAACCTCGACAGGAGACAAAAGGAGAAAAAGGAACCGGACAGGCATAGGCTTGGCCATGGTATATGTATGGAAGGAAGATACTTGACGTTAATAAACTCTTGGATAGAAAACCATGAATACTTTGAATTTGGAGGGTCAAGTATCTATA